TTTTAAAAGGAAACCTTTAATATTTTTAAATATTGAAGTAACTAAAAAAGAAATTGAAAGAAAAAATTAGAAGACTCAATTCACTGTAATAAAAACTGTAAATAAATGCATGCTTTAGATTAGGAAAGGCATAGACAAATGCAGAAAGTAACAATATAATTCATAAGCAGCATTAGGGGAATCCACATTTATGAGTCAGACCCATAGCAAGAAAATAAACAGTTGTGACACAACATACATAAGATTGACATAAGAAAAGCAAAAACAATATTAAAAAGTATATTGCTATTTTAACATTTAAACAATACAATAAAAATCTAAATAATGGTTGGAAAGTTGAAAATGAAGGAAAGCAGTGAAGTTTGAATTTACCTGCAGTTTAAGGTGCAAGGTCTTGGGAATACAATAACTATTACTTTGTACAAAATAAGCAGTGAAGAAAAATGAAGGTTAGGATGAAATTGGAAATAAAGTAATCAGTATTGTAACAGCTTTGTCATGTTATATTTGGAGTATGAACCAGATCTAGAGAAAGTTGTGATTTTAGGTTTCATGAAAGATGATGTGCTATTGTAAAACCCATGAACAGAGTTTGTATGATTTATGATTTGGGTTCTGTTTCTTTAAAGGAAAAGCTAAACATGTGAGGCTTTTTAAATTTGGGGAATGGGGAAGAGAACACTAGTGGAATACGATAGCAGTTAGAAAAATTGTGCCTAGTGAGTCATTGCAGAGGAAGTAGATAGATAGGGTTTTTTTTCTTCCAAAAGGACTTAATGTGGTGTATATTTGACTTTAATAGAATATCCTATCCCAAATTGATGACTAGAAGCCTTAAAATGATTTAAGGAAATTAACAGAAAAAAATGTCTCTGTGATTTCTAGGAGAGATAAGTTATTTGGTATCTTTGTATTTAAAGGTTAACATTTATAAGTGTGGAGCAACTTGTAACACTAAGGGCAATTTTTGCAGATGAATGGCAAGGGAATTTAAAAGAGAAGAAAAAAGGATGGGAGGGAGAGCTGTAATCTATCACTGACAAAAGCGGGAGAAAAAAACTAAGGGAAAGAGAGAAGAGCCTCTGTAAATGATGAGTTCAATTTTCTGATAAGAATGATCTGGCCTTCTAGCTGCTGGATATGGTGGAGGATGTATAAAAGGTTATCATGGAGTTAGAGAAGGAGCAGAGAAGAATGCCCCAAACCATCAACAGGTTGGAACAACTCTACTGTTGTGAAAGTTTGTAAGATTTGAAAGTTGGGGCTTCGAAAATAGTCACATAGAGTCATCTAAAGTCACATATTGCCTTAAGAAAGTGGATGGGAACCTTTTTTCTGTACCTCATAATGCTGCAACCTGAAAAAAGTGGAAAATTCAGAATGGATAAAGGAAATAATTCTTCATATGGTACATAGATTGTGCTGGTTGTTACCATAAGATAAAGTGATGACAAGCAACTTCAATGACTTTCAATGAGACTAAAAAAAATGAAGGATAAAGCTATCAACAGCTGTTAGTCACAATAATTACTGTAAGATTCCCCCCATATCAGATTAATATGACGCAAATACTGGTGGCTGTATGTGCACAAATAAAGGGATGCAGTGCTCATTCACTGCCTGGGTATTCACTGGTTGACTGCTGTGGGAACAGAGTAATGGTCTGCATTTCTCCTTTTTCTCTATTATGTTCTAATAGAAAAGCAGAAAAGTAAATAGTAAAACCGAATATTAATATAACAATCTTATTGAAGTAAGTAGAGTCATTCCATGGAGGAAGAATTAAGGACTTCCTTAATGTTGCCAGTGTACGCTGAGTAGACAGGAAGTAAGAAAGTTCTTCTACCAGATTCCCCTTTTTAGAAAGCTTCCCTTCTAACAATATTTGTGGAACGAAAAATAACTGGTTCTGTTAGATGTAGTTGCTGCTAGGTCAAGAGAAGTACCGAGTTCTGGAATGCATGGGTTGAAGGTCTACACCATTTGTTCCTTATAGATAGCCAAATGCTTGTCCTTCCTCATTGTCAGTGATAAATATAAAGCCAGTGAGCTTTCTTCAGGAATGTCTCAAGAGATTTACAGTAAGAGTAGACCTCTGTCAGTGGACAAGTCTTTCTGTAATATTCTTCAGCTTGGCAGAAGCTATAAAATCTCCCGGACACTCCTGGAAATTTATATCCGTGCTAAAGTATGTTGAGTATAGTCTCTGAATCTTCTGTGCTTCAGTCATTCCCCGCCCCCCATCTCCCATCAAATGGTAAAAAAATATGACAGACACCACATCAAATCTAGTGAGATACATATGAAGAAAATATTGTTGCTATTCATTCTGTTGCACCAAGACTTAAATAACAGAAAATGATTATCTGTAAAAAAATACTTAAACCTGAAATCAGAATCATGCATGGTAATAGAATGTTTTATTTATATGTATATGTAAAAATAGCATGCATGTTTCTGAAAATAAACTGAGAACATGAACTGGGAAGACTTTTACAGACTTTAATGCTATGCATCTAATTAGGATGTTCCAGTTATTAACAAGAACATCTATTTGAAGTAAACATCAAGATTGCAGTTCTGTAATTTTTACAGTTGAGAGGAAGAGAGTGCAAATCCCAAAATGTCATATAAGGGAAAGAATAAGTTGGAATTCTATTTCTTGATCCAACCTTATAATGCACAGAGAAGAAGAATGTAGGCCTTTATGTCTTTTGTCAGTTTTTTAAGGCAAAGATGATGAGAGATTAAAATAAAAAAAGTATGGAGGAAAGGTTGCTTGAATGGCCAGCATAATTTGTGTTCCAATAGAGATAATTACTTAGATAAGACAGTTAAAAGGAACATTTTGTACGTTTATGAGGCATATATTGTTCAAGCTTTCAAGACTTATTAAAAATCATTCCCCCATTGTCAAATTGGTGGGGATGGGAGGGAAGAAGGAGAATTTCATGGATTTTTGGCAGGATGCTGCTAGTAGTTCTTTTGTAGAAAGGATCAGAAGGTAAATTTCTATCCATGCTTGCAAATTATCATGATTAAGGTGATCAGAAACAAGGTATGAAATAGTATCTTTTGAAGCAGTGTAGTTTGAAATTCTGCTGTTGTGAATAGCCTCAGTCCTAAATGAGATAATTGTCAAAGATTGCAAAGACTGAAATCCAAAAATGGCCATGATCAAAAAAGTCTGACAAATTAAAGTACTTGCACGCATAATTCAAATCATAATAGCACTTTATCCCTTTCAATATAACATTCAATCCCAGCTGTTTTCTGTTGTGGAATCCAATAAATAGGTCTATGCAGAAAAATATAATCAATTTGCACAATAAAACTAAGCTTCAATTTTTAAGGAAGGGTGATTAAACTTTCCTTTGGATTATTTCTCTTGATTTATTTCTAAATACTAAAAATCCAAAATGAATGTGTACTGATGTGTGTGGTTACAGCCACATCTCTCTCACTATTAAAGGTAAAGAAAATCTCTGCTAAGTTTTTAAACCCTATCATGCCGAGCCATCTGCACAGTGATTTAACAGCTGAAACCCTCAATTGTCAACTGACCTATTCATAATGTGCGCTTTGCCTGCCAACCTCTTGTGTGAGAAAGCTGATTAAATTAAAGTTGTATCCAGCTTGTTAGTTGTGTCTTTATGAAATTTCTGCCAAACGGTAGCTTTAAATTAATGATTATTAAAACAATTGACAAGAGTAGTTCAGATACTGGATCTGTGTATTCTATTTATGATATCCATCCAAAATCTTTGTTTTCTTGATATGAAGGGAGTGTAGGTGTAAATTAAACCTTTGTTTTCTGGGGATTCAATCTATGGCATTGGGAGAACAGTTGAGTCCACTGAATAGTTTTGCTTAGTTCTGAGAAACTTGAAACCTATATTCCATTTTTTTCTTAAGATATTATGTCCACATTTTTATGTCCACATTTTTGGCAGATGTACCAAAAAGAAAGATAGATCATTCCATAATTTGTCATCTTCCTTATTGCAGTTTCATGCTAGCATCAGGCATAACATTATGCAGATAGTGGTTCCACATAGTCTCAACAGATGATTTTTTTGATCAGTTTTTCTACTAATTATTGGGATTCAATGATTTCGTAGATGATATTATCAGAAATCTGCAGTAATCTGTAATTTCTTGATTTTTATAGCATCTGTAAAATCATTTCATAGAACAACCAAAGTCCTAAATAGAAGGTGAACCAACCTCTCTTCCCAAAATTAGTCAAAGTGATTGGAAGAGCTAATTTGAAATATAAAGCACAAAGTATAAACCAGAGCATTTAGCCAATTTTCCTCTTCTCACTCCCATCCCCACCGCACTTTTGCATGTATAGTATGTGTGACTCACATACATCTCCTAATTTAACATCTTCTCAGTACAAACCATGTACTGTACACCCACACACATATTATATCCACCACTACCACCAAATAGCAGGATTTTTGGTTGATGGTTCTGAGAGTTTGGAAATCCACTTTAAGGAGAAAAGACCACATGTCTAGTCTCATTTGCAGCCAAACTGAAATGGCTATGGAGACACAAGGCCCAGGAATGGATGAGAAGGTGACACTTCCATGTGTCTTTTGATGGGCTAATTGGAATTGAGCTGGCAGCTCTTTTCATATAGTTCACCTTGAGGTATCCGAGATTGTCTGCATGGGGATTTTTGTATTGGGAGAAGAAGGAAATTATGACAACTGGAACAACTAAGGCTGGCTCTGGGCTGGGGATAATATAGAGGCAACATCATGTGAAGATGTCCATCAAACATGGTTAGCAAATAGTTTGTTTGCTCTATGGCCAGCAGGATGATATCTTAGTTTCATATCTTAGTTTTAAAAGCACCTTTTAAATGTATACTCCAACTTGAGCAAAGCATATTGCACATGTTAGGATATATTCAGTTGAAATATCAGTTTATGAGATGAATATCTCTCAGCTGTATCAGCACTCAATATCTTCTTTTTTATCTTTAGGGGAAGCTAAGAATCTTCCTACGTATCCAGGGCCAAACAAAATGCGGGATTGTTACTGTACAGTAAACTTGGACCAGGAAGAAGTTTTCAGGACCAAAATAGTGGAGAAATCACTATGGTAATATTTCACTGAATTTAAATTATTATTTCAGCATTTGTATGTTAATTTATTTTAGGCACAATACTCTGTTTTGTGAAGTGAGAACTGTCATCAAGCAATTTGTTATACACACACACACACACACAAGCACAAACATAATGCAGAATGCTCAATAAAATCAACAGTTCCCTAGCAACCTTATTCCTCCAAATGTTAAAACAATAAAATACTCTGTTATGATTAGTTTTTGTTTTAGTATATTCGATGTATGTACATTGCCTTTGCTCAGGAGCTTATGGTAATATACAAAATGTCATCCCTTCCTCCAGTATTTCCCTACAATTACATCCCTATGTGGTAGGCTGGGCAGATAGAAGGTGATTGGTCTAGAATCACCCGCTGTGGCTGAAGATGGTTGTGGGGAAGAGGGTCTGTGAGGGTACCACAACCTTCTTCCATACATGAAATTAGGGTGCATATTGCCATGAAAACATGGGTAGGAGAGGGCCATTAATGTATGGATAGAAAGTGGCCAAGTAAGAATTATGTTTTAAATTTGTCTAATACTAACAAAAGGGGCTGCATCTTTACAGATTTCCTAAGTTTCAAGAGAGTAGGGATTTGGAAACAGAATACAGAAAAAGACCCTTTCCTGCTTTTAGGAAGCGGGCCTTGGACAGAAAGACAGAATCTTTAAATTAATATATACATTTGGTAACATCTGGCTGCACTGCTGAATATTATATCCAGGAAATAATTATATGAATATGCAGTTTTCCACTGTAGCAGAATTGTCACATATCTTACTGTGGAAGAACATGGAAGGTTCAAACAGCAGCACAAGTTTTTACTTTACTTTTTACTTAACTGGTTGCAAGTAATTCTGGACCTCCTGCCAAAACAGCATCTTTAAAGTCTGCAGCTCCAAACATTTGCTGCTGAAATTTGTTCTTTTGTGTTTCGTTAGGCATAGGGATGAAGAACAGTGTAGTTTAAAGAAGTACTTCAGTACCAGGCATAAAATGCACTCATCTTCGCTACAGGTTCGGAACTGGGAGCATGTGCGTGCATGCACACGCTTTGTGTGCACACAGCACTTCACAGAAATGAAACAGTATTGCTATTGCTATTGCTATTGCTGTGCATGTGCAGAACCTTCTGGGATGACGTCTGAGTGGGTGGGTGGAGCCTACCTCCGCCGCCATTACTGATTCGCATGAACCGGGGCCAACCATGCAGAATACCATCTCTGTTCAGTATGTGAAAGTGAACATCCAATGACAGATACATGATGAAACCTTACAACATAAAATATGAACACAATTTTTTTTATCACATCAGTTGACACGTCATCTTAAACAACATATACAACTTAAGGCTGAATGTGTTTGTTTTCTTTATTTTTTGATCCTTTTCTGACATAGACGTTTAAAAATATGAATTCTTGGTTTTTGAAGGATTCTTGTGAATCAAAGTGAATTGATGGATTCTTTATATACATATAAAGCATAATGTTGCATACACAATGCCTTATATCTAACATTTTGGCATCACATTAGATTTAATTTTTTTTCCTCTTACAATATCATTATGACATTCATATGGAATGTGTTCAGAGGCTGGGAATATTCCATCTCCCAGACTCACACTTTGTAAAGTTAGAAGTATGGCAGATTATGTACACTATTCCCCCCCCCCTCAAATATATCCCCCCTCCCAAATAGAAGCAGTTCACTAATAATTATAGAACAAAACAAAGTTCTTCCAGCATTACAGAGGCTGGGCAGCAGTCCCACCTCAAGCTTTTTTCTCTTTAGAGAAACATTTGAATGTAGCAGCAGCAACAGCTTGAACAAGTTTTATCTTAATTCTTGAATATATCTCCACATGAATAGACTACTAATCCTTATTATGCTCCTTTCTGAACCACAGTTGATTCAATACCAGTCAGGCAGTTAGACATCAGTTTTTTTCTCCAATGTGCTGAGGAGAATCCAAGGAATGGTTAACTCTGCCTTGCTGATCATTAGACTGAGTCTGTCAATTTTTTGTGTTCCCAGTTTTGACTCAGTCTTCAGCTCAAAAGACGCTTATAACTTAGTTCCAACTTCAAAACTAAAGAGCAAAGATAGACAGAATTTCCCTTCCTTGGATTCTCACTTGACAATAGAGGAAAGCAATCGGCTTCCTTCAGTATTCACAGGGAAAGCGAACTTTCAGACAGGCTCTCCAGTCCAACCAGCATAGCCGTCATTATCCAGCTCAGTCCAACGGCTGAGGCCCCTTGAAGCTGACAAGCAGGCTCCCTGGTCTGACTGACATAGCTGCCATTATCCGGCTCAGTCCAGCAGAGCTGAGGCTCCTTGAGGCTGACAGGCAGGTTCCCTAGCATAGCCGCCATTGTTTTTTCTTCCATTTTCTGCCTTTTGAGTCTTATGCCCAGCTAAAGGTAGCTGTTGGCTGGTAAAGTAGATTGGGAAGAGATTGCTTTTTTTCTAAGCTCCTTTTAAGGGAGAAAGGAGATAAAAGGGTGAAACCTTTTAGATTTCAGCAGTTTTTTTTTCCTATTAGGTTCCTGAAGTGTCTCAGGTATTACTTATTGGTCCTACCAATGTTCACCTCTAAACTTTCTAATTTAAAAAGTTGCATGCTATGTAACATCTAAATAGCATTGAAAGCATTTAAATTTAATTTAAATGGAAAATTTTGATTTTAAAAAATTCCAACATTTGTTTTGATATGAACAAAAGAAATGGAATTATTCTTATTGAGTTATTGTTATTTTTACATAAATAAGTAGTATCACATCTTTATTATCTTCTACTGTACATTGTCTGAGACCAGCCATTGACTATACTTGCTGGCAATCCTGGTAGAATCAAATGCATACAAAGAACTTTCAGTGGGGAGGGCTCCTCAAACTGCACTGCATGCAAGTAGACCTAAGAATCTTTCTGAGCTAGAGGACTTTGGCAAAGAAGAATAGGGCAAAAATTGCAAAGCTTAAATAGAAAGGTTTTTAAAATTGGATTCAGGAAATGCTTAGAAACATTTATCTCTATCAAAGTAGGCCTTACAAAATACTGCCTGGAAGGGAGTCCAATTTTTACATCTGCCACATTTCTTACTTTGAATCTGTAAACAAATTGCACAGCAAAAAAACAAGGGGGCATTTATATTTGCAGAAGGATGCATTTAACTTTGTACCATGTGGAAGCTGTTTCAGTTTCTACTCATTTAAGAATCCATTGAAACATGCAATTTGACTAAGGGAACCTAAACTTTTGCATATGATTTACTAATTATTTGTACATTGCATGTTATACATTTCATATGCATATTTGGTTTCTCTCTGTTTTAACTTTGTGATGTAAATTCCTGCCATGGAATATAACATTTGCTGTGGCATTTTTTATTGCCTTCTTTTTAAAATTTATTTAAAAGCCACATGGGAGACATTCAGTTTGGGATCTCTTATTATTAGTTGCTGTAAAGGTTGCAGTGTAATTCTGCATTCATAATTCTTCCAGTTTGAGAAATGAAACAGTCTTTTTAATTCTTAAATTTATCTAATGCTATCCAAGAGACTTCAGTTATAAGATAATATAATTGAGGAAGAAAGCCTCCAAAGCAGTGGTGGGATTCAGCCAGTTCGCACCACTTCGGGAGAACCGGTTGTTAACTTTCCGAACAGTTTGGTGAACTGGTTGTTGGAAGAAATCATTAGGGCAGAGAACCTGTTGTTACATTATTTGAATTTAAAGCATTATTAAAATGATCAAATTTCATTTCAAGCTAATAAAGGGTATGAAGTTAACTGCTTATAGTTTTTACATTATAATAAAATTCAATATCTTGCAGAACTAAATAGTTAAATTATGAAAAAATATAATTATGAATGCCAATTGTTAAAACTACATGCTTATTACTTTCTCTTACCCAAATCTTCATTTTTGATGTAAAAGAATATAAGGAAAAAACTAAAAAGAATTACAGCCTTGGATATGGAATTCATCTAAAAACTGAGTGAGAGTATGCACCTGAAATATCTTACAATTAAGAATGAGTCCAGAGAACTAATGTGGCTATATTGGCCATAAAGCTGGATCTTAAAATACATTGATTTTACTCTTTCTCAGCCATAGTTTAGTCAGGTTTTGTGAATGAGTCTAGTAATTGACACTTTCAAGTTAGGAAAGGATTTGGGGAAGTTAATTTATAGATATTTACTTAATAGTTTCAGTGTAAATATATGTAATCAATTTTTAATCTGATTTTAAATACAGATGTATTTTAGGCATTCAACAATTCATTGAAATTCGTAGTAAATCTCAAATCATGAACTTTCTTATATTTATTGCACATATATTTATGTGTAATTTGTGACATTCAAAGATTCTTCTAAACCAGTGATGGCTAACCTTTTTGTTATAGGGAGTCAAAAATGTGAGCGCACATGTGCAATAGCGCGCGCATGGACCAGCACCCATAATGCAAAGCGTACCCCCACATGTGCATGCATGCACAACCTACTCCCATGCTCCCCACCCACATACGCCTCACTGCTCGCCTCCAAGCTGATATTGATATTTCCTCTGGAGGGCCAGGGGAAGCCGTTTTTGCCCTCCCTGGATCATTTCCAAACTTCCGATAGGTCATTTCGCCTGTTTTTCACCATCTCCAGGCTCCGGAGGCTTTCCTGAAGCTTGGGGAGGGTGAAAATGGCCTCTCCTGGCCCTCCAGAAGGCCAAAAACCAGTGCTGATGGCTTGCATGCTGGCAGGTATGGCTCCATGTGCTGCCTGTGGCATATGTGCCATAGGTTTGCCATCACGGTCCTATAGGTCCCATTATCATGAAAAAGTGAGCGTGGTGGGTTTATTCCAGAGGTGGGTTCCTACCAGTTCGCACCTATAAGAGCCAAGGTGGCGCAGTGGTTAAATGCAGCACTGCAGGCTACTGCTAGATCAGCAGGTCAGCGGTTCAAATCTCACCGGCTCAGGGTTGACTCAGCCTTCCATCCTTCCGAGGTGGGTAAAATGAGGACCCAGATTGTTGGGGGCAATATGCTGACTCTCTGTAAACCGCTTAGAGAGGCCTGAAAGGCCTATGAAGCGGTATATAAGTCTACTGCTATTGCTATTGCTATTGCTATATTCGGTAGAATCGATTCGTCAAATCTACCGAACCAGTTAGAAGAGGTTCTAACAGTGGACCCGGAAAGCAGGCCACACCTACAGAAGAGGTTCCAAACTAAAAAGAATTACAGCCTTGGATATGGAATTCATCTAAAAACTGAGTGAGAGTATGCACCTGAAATATCTTACAATTAAGAATGAGTCCAGAGAACTAATGTGGCTATATTGGCCATAAAGCTGGATCTTAAAATACATTGATTTTACTCTTTCTCAGCCATAGTTTAGTCAGGTTTTGTGAATGAGTCTAGTAATTGACACTTTCAAGTTAGGAAAGGATTTGGGGAATCGATTCGTCAAATCTACCGAACCAGTTAGAAGAGGTTCTAACAGTGGACCCGGAAAGCAGGCCACACCTACAGAAGAGGTTCCAAAAATTTTTGAAACCCACAACTGGTGGGTGTGTAATGTCCCACAGTTATCTACGCATTAATAATGATCTAGTAATATTTTCTTATACATTTTAGGGACCTTTCCTTACATAATTGGTATTTTCTTTCATACTTTTGGATTTCTAATTTCTGTTTCCCTTAGTTGGCAATTGCTAAAACCAATCCCACATGAAAAAGTATTCAAAGCCTTCTTGATTTTAATTGTCAATTTATTTATTCCTGCACATTGTAATATTTATTCATTTACATATCTTTGTTTTTCCACTGTTGTGCAAACACAATTCCAGCAGCTGCTAACATGTGTAAAATTAAATATATATTATACTCCCTTTCAAATAGCAAACAAAATATTCTGGATTTAATTCCATATCTTGCTTTACAATTGCTTTTAACCACTAACTTCTGAATAGTTACTTGGACCGACCTAAGTACTAATTCATAATTTCATATCCGGTCACATGGGCGGCAAGCCATTCCCATCCGGTCACATGGGTGGCAAGCCACTCCCACAAAGGAGTAGGTTCCAACAATTTTTGAAACCCACCACTGGTTTATTCTGTGTAAAACACCTTGTTATGAATTCTCTACATAAAGAAAACAGATCAATTCCCTCCTTGCTCAGCTTTTAGTAGGCTCCAAAGACTGTTTTTTAAAACAGCCTTTGGTATAGGTATGGTTCTAAATTTTGGTTTTATTTTTTGCATGTTTTCATTCAATTCCTTCACTAAATATTTCCCTTGCTTTGAAACTAGCTTAAAATATTTTCTGTTTGCATCTGTCAGTGTTTGTTTTGATATTTTAGATCTGTGATCTGTACTGCTCTAAAATGATGTTATGATAATTTGATAGTTCAAGAGGTATTTGTTTTAGTGAGAAAGACGCACTGAGGGTCAGCTTTCTCTTACAAAGAATATATTGTTCTTGAAGGTCTTCCCAGTGTCCATTTGGCTGCATTCTTCTAGCATTATTTTTCTTTAGACAAATAGAAATAGAAAGTGCTGCTTCTAGAAGTTGTTCTGAAATCACTGGATAACATGACTTTGTTGCCTATGTGACAACTGGTGGGAATGTCACAACCTTCTCATATGTACTCTTTCAGGAATTCTATAATAGTAAGACTTTTTTTCCCCAAAAATAGGCACTCCCAACAATTGTGTATGATTTTTTCCCCTTGAGTTTGCCATCTTCCAATATGGAACAAATTAATTGAAATTAAATTTTCCTTATTTAGAGCTTCATTGCTAATTAGGAAAATCATAGATACAGATAAGCCCATTAAAGGTGTAGGCTCACAACAGTTGCTACAGTATTAACTTGCATTCTGTAGGAGAGACTAGCATTTTAAGTAGTCTGGAAGAGAAGAAATTGTTCAAGAGCTCTTCTGAATTATAAAATTATTTTTTTTGCCTTGTGCTGAATAATATTAATTCCTAGTTGGGGAAAGACACCCACCAAATGAGTGACATAGTTCCAGTTAGTCAGATCAGACAACAAATACAAATGAAATAGTTAGTTCAGGATTCCAAATATGTTCAAGCATGAAACCTTGTACTGAAAACTGATATTTCAAATCGTACTTCTCCAGCTTGTTCTCCATTGGATTCTATTCTATATTTTCTTGCTCATTTTAAATATAAACCCTGAAATCAGTGGTGGGATCCAAATTTTTTTACTACCTGTTCTGTGGGTGTGGCTTAGTGGGCATGGCATGGTTTATGGGCGTGGCAGGGGAAGAATACTGCAAAATCCTCATTCCCTCTCCACTCCTGGGGAAAGGTTACTACAAAATCTCCATTCCCTCCCCACCCCACTAACCTGCTTTCCAGCTCTGTTCTCCTGTACAGGGCAACCAAAAAAGATCAGCTGGGAGGCAGCAGGGGCGGGGCCAGCCTATTTGCTGGTTTTCCAAACTACTCAAAATTTCCGCTCCCTGTTCCCCAGAACCTGTCAGAACTGGCTGAATACCACCTCTGAAATGTCTGGGGATGAAAAACATCAATTGTAGGGGCACTTTAAGTACCCTTAGAGTAAATATTCTGTGCAGTAGAAATATCGGCCTTCTGAATGTGGAGCGTCTGGTTGTCCATACTAATTGAAAGTTAGAGTCCTAACTGTGTTTAGCAGGACAGAAGAAAGGCTGTTGTTTGCAACATAATGATTTCAACTGTGCCCATAGATTGTTAAGAGAAAGTAGGAGAGGTGTTATCCTGGCAGCTGAAGGCCATATCCTACCCTAACAAGAGAATTAAAAAAGAATGTGTGAAAAAAGGAATATGCAGCTATTATTTTAAGATGTTTCTAATAACATCTTCCAATTGCTTGTACATGGAAGGCATATAACTTGTCGACTACTGCCTATTTTTTTTATGACACTCAGACTGTTTATTGAACAATAGAATAGTCTTAAACAATTATGTTGAAAAGAATGTCTCCATAAAATGGGTGGTACTTATAATTACTTTATGGCAATTTATTCCATAACAAAGGAAAAGAAGTTTGATGTATCTAGGTCACTATATATACATAGTCTGAAATGTGAGAATTGCCAAATTTTCTTAATTTGTATATAAGCATTTCCTTTTTCTTTTTCTAGAAAAGTGCAAAACCTGCTGTCTGGTATAATACTTTAATTATGAATATATAAAATGATACTGCAATACAATGTTCTTTTAGGTTTTGCAACGCTGCAAAAATACGGCTGTATACTCAATTATATTAATCATTGAAAAGGCAGTTTTGGGCTTCCATTTTCAAGAGTCAAGCTATATAAAGAAATGGTCCAGCTTCCAAAGCAATTTGGAAGATGTGATATATTAAGTTTTGAAACAATACAAGTTTGCTAGCTTTAAGCAGTGGCAGCCTATAGGGCAATTAAATGGCGGTAGGCAAATTGAAGGTGCCAGGTAAAAGCTTTAATGGGAAAGTTGACAGTAATTGATTTCCAGCTTCTAACAATTGTACTAAAGTGTTTTATTTTTGTTTTACATAGCCCTTTTTATGGAGAAGACTTTTACTGTGAAATTCCACGGAGTTTTCGACATCTGTCATTTTACATTTTCGATAGAGATGTTTTCCGCAGGGATTCAATCATTGGTATGTGTTTATATGTTAGTTCAATTTTAAGTCTTAATTATTTTTCTAACTGGAGAAGCTCTGTATGTTCACATATTTGTCAACAACAGTACTGAATTTAAAAAAATCATGTATTTTTTTCTTTAAATGTAGCCTAAACATTTCAACATACTGTTCATCATGGTTGAGTTATGGTTATGTTCTTAAATAACTATATACAGTAACAATAAAGAGGATAAAATTCCTTCAAAATAAAAATCTGTTCAAGTCGTATTTCTAAGTGAGATGAAATAAGCTTTTCAAAAAGTATCTCTGTTTTGAAAAAAATAAAGCAATTAATCTGAACATGCTGTGAACTAATAGATAAAAAGATTCATCTATCCCGATTATTGCTGAATGAATGTACTCATTTAAACTTTGGTTTAGTTTTAGTTAGAATATTTCACTTGAATTGCAGGTTAAATTCTGTTTTGATGATGTTTTGAACATATGAAGAAACAAAGTTTTAAAATTTTTGGAGATCCTCCCTCCCTCCCACCCTCCCTTCTTTCTTTGATGTGCCTTGGTAGTCTTTGATGCTCAGATTGCTAGTGCAAAGTGTGTAAAATATTAAATTTGAGTGGTTGAGAAATAGCCCAAAGTCCAAAGAAGATTTATAAGCATTTCTGACACAGACAGATGAAATTAAATCACAATTACAAAACGAGGCAGGCAAGCAGGAAACTAAAGGAGTGAGTCAAGAGGACGTTTTGGAGGCAAACACCACCCCCCCCCTCCCCCGCCAAGGATTAGGATGTTTCCTTCTTCAGCAGAGGTGCTGCTAGGGATTCTCAAAGCATTGTAGCAATAAGGAAAACATTGAGTTCGGGCAAAAGAAAAAAAAGTGAGGGTAGGGAAATGATGAAAAGAGAAAAAAAGGATTCATTTAAAATATTTCTGCACAGTTGTATGGTCTGGAATGTAGTATTTCTCTAATTTCCTAAAGCTTCTTACAATTCAGAACATGTTTTGTTAGTTTTTTACTGGCTTCTGCAAATCTGCCAAGATAGCACATAGGTATAAAGAAATAGGTTTTTATTAAGGTGAGAAAGCATAATATACAATTTAGCCCAGTCTTTTTTCTTGGTGAGATTGAACATTGGTCTCAGCCTAACTGAACTACTGAAGGATAGTCAAGTATCCCCTGCAAATTTCTCATGTTTCCATGGATCTTCTTTAGGGGATCAACTCATACCTGATTTCATCAAAGTATGTGCTGCAAAAGCTGAAAACGTGCAAATGCTGCAGTGTATATACCTATCAGTGGTGGGATTCAAAAAATTTTACTACCGGTTTTGTGGGCATGGCTTGGTGGGCGTGGTGTGGCTTGATGGGCGTGGCAGGGGAAGATACTGTAAAATCTCACTTCCCACCCCACTACAGGGGAAGGATACTGTAAAATCTCCATTCTCTCCCCACTCCAAGGGAAGATTACTGCAAAATCCCCATTTCCTCCTGATGAGCTGGGACTCTGCAGGCAGAGAATAGATGGGGACGGGGCGAGCTATAACTACTCAAAATTTCCGCTACTGGGTTCTCCAGTACTGGTCAGAACCTGCTGAATACCACCTCTGATACCTGTGTATAAGTTAAGAGACCGGGATGTGGTGGCAACATTGATGTAATTAGGTCACTTTACTGTGGATGCTATACTATATTTCACTTCTGGAGCTAGAAAAAAATCTAGAGATCTGTTGGATAACACTTGGCTACCTTGTATTCTTCTCTGGTTAAATGCAAATGTTTTAATATCAAAGTGCTTTTTAATCTTAAAAAGTTTAGCTGTATGGGATAATCTTAACAAATAGCAACACTAGGCTATACATATTTACATATTGAGATTCAGAAAGAAACCAAAGAAATGCTTGAGTGGAGAATGTATTTATTTGTCAAATTTATAAGACTGCCAGATCCCATCAAGATTCTGGGCAGTGTGCATTACAAACAAAACAGTATAACAAGAAAAGAACAGTGTGTGTTCAAAAGAAAAAAAAACAAAGAGAGGAAACAAAAAGCTGCTTCCTGGGTCGTAATTTTTTATCACACATATTCAATTTTATATGTTTGTATTGCAAAGTTGTGTTACCGGACTTTGTTTACAAAAACTTTCTAAAGGGTTTTTCTCTTTATCTATGAAATGTAAGACTGTCTTCTCTATCTATATATTTATTAAGGATTGAAATTGTTGTAGGATCCATGGCTGTTCTGGGCTGCCTGATTGACACTAAGCTGCCCATTTCCTCTCCCTTTGTCTCTATTTTTGTTTTGATGTAACAGGCTTGCATAATGCAAAGTCAGTCACCATGGCAACCCCAGATAAGATAAACATTTTGCCCATATACCTATATGTTTTCCTTCCATATAAGGCACTATCAGCCAGGATGAATGGATGGATTGAAATTTGTCTGCCAACCTGAGGCCAGTACTGTATGTGACTTAATAAAGTCAGGATTTATGATAATAAATAGAATCCCAAACTTTTAGGGTGCTGCTTACATCCATTTATATAACTAAATGTCTCTTGACCTTCCTCTGTGCTTCAACAAATTTATCTAATAGAGACTGAGTTAATTGGCAGAGTTTGCCAACAAATGATTCAATAAACAGCAGGCATGAAATGGAGGGCAATTTAGGCATACACTTGCCACAGGCACAACTTCAGTGTTTGAACCCCTGGAACAACAATCTTGATAAGAGATATTATTATATCTCTGTGTTATAACTATTGAAGGCAGGTTATCCATTTATACCAGAGTAAATGCCCCTTTGTGCAGAGAATGGAAAAATATAACGGTATCCAAGTGCAACAAAGGAGGCACCTGCGTATTCACAATAGCAACAACAAAAATCTATTTGTAATCTGGATCCAAAACTGTCCATCTGTACTTTGGGGTGTCTTTTGTTGGATCCAAAGAATGTATAGGTAGGGGAGCTAGCTCACACTAAGCCAACCCAAAATCTATTAGTTAGGAAGTAAGTTGAACTGCTGCCTCCCAAATCCCCATAGTCAATTGCAAAAGGCAGCTTTACTTGGAACAGCTTACATCCCGCAATGATACAGTCCTTTATTATCATCCAACAACAAGATCTGCTCATCCCAGGCCTTTGCGAAGGACTTGATAGATGGATAAAAATGCCAAATCTAGTCGAAACATCTGGCTGACTGTGCAACTAACCATAATAATACATTTCATATTCTAAATTTTGTACGTAAGTTTTAAATCAGCCTTATCTGATCAGCTATATTCAAAATGTAATATAGCTGGATATAATCCAGCTCACTGGATTGGGAAAGGTGGTTATAAATAATGAAGGTTGGTAATCAATTTTCTTCTGCTAGTGAGACTAATCCTCCACAATATCTACCTTTTGGGTTTTCTTCCCAAGGAAATGGGAGGCAGCTTCATTTACATCTACTTAGAAAGATGAGGAATCCCGTGAAACATTGGGAAGGGTTTATAGAAGGGCTGAAATCTTGAAAATGGCTTCTTTCCTTGCCTGATGGGATATTCCACTGGAATTCAGTCCTGCATGTGAATGGAAAGTGATTCTCCATGCACAGATGTCTAATTAGGACCCACACAATTACCAATATAAAGTCTTCCACTTACAATTGAGCCCAAAAATTTGGTTGCTAAGCAAAACAGTTATTAAGGGAGTTTCGCCCCACTTTATGACCTTTCTTGCCACAGTTATTAAGTGAATCACTCTAGTTGTTAAGTTAGTAACACGGTTGTTAAGTAAATCTGGCTTCCCTATTGACTTTGCTTGTCAGAAGGTCACAAAGGTAAATCACATGATACAGGGGGATTTCAACTGTCTTAAATACATACCAGTTGCCAAGGGTCTGTATTTTAATAACGTGACCTCCGGGATCTGCAACGGCTGTAAGTGTGAAAGCAGACATAAGTCACTTTTTTCAGGGCCAATGAAATGGCCCTGAACTAAACAAATGGCTGTAAGTCGAAGTTGTATAGGATATGCCTATAATACATCTTCTCTGAAGTATTTTAATGTATTTAATATGAATTGACCTCAGTGCTTTTATGTTTAGGCCTTTGCAAAGCCTGTTATATAAAATAATATGATCTGTACCGTGATCCCTGAAATAAGCACTTGGCCTTATTTTGAGAGAGGTCTTATTATTTTTGAGGTGTAGGAGGAAGAGAGCGTGGTCACCTGATGGCTGCTATGTTGCAGTATTTTCGGGGAGGGCTTATTTTAGCGTATGCGCTCAAAAGCCCAATTGGACTTATTATCCAGGGAGGTCTTATTTTCAGGGAAACGGGGTACTGTCGTGTTCATTCTGACAAGCAAAATCAATAGGGAAACCAACTTTACTAACTTCAGGACCCTATTTAGGAAAGTATTGAAATGTTTTCTTTTTAATATGATAAAATCATTCAAAAAAGAATTTAATGGACTATTTAGACATTGCCTGTCTGAACTGGTTGGTGCTCGGAAGCTAAATGGGGTTCAGCTTGGATGATATTTGGATGAGAAGCTTCCGGAGAGTACCAAGAATGTAGGCTAGATTGAGACGATGAAAAACATCTTGGAAATTGTACAGTGGCCAATAAACTGTGTGACCCTATCCATGAATGTATCAAGAGTTGAAGCCAACTTCTAGGAGACTGGGTTGATTTAACTATGAGATATTTAAAAGAGGCTTTGAAAATGCTTTAGGCCAAATGCTGGGAACTTAGAAAATAGATTAACAAGAGAATTCTTAGCAACTGTGCAACGAACAGTTCAGCCTCTGTGACCTTCAGTTAAAAACAGGAAACATGCTACATCATCTGATCGTTTAGCACTTATCTGAAAGAATAAAAGAGTCTTATACGGGGTACCCTTCATGTGACAGATGCACAATTATTTCTGGCCTAATTTACAAACTAGGAGAACAGATGAGAAGCCAAAGTTTTCATTTATGTAGCAAATATAAATCCAGAATTCAGTCATGAGAATTTCTTAAGCGAAATGTTTACATAGAGTGAAGCTACATCCTTCGATCAACAAGATGTTGCTATGTATAGCAAGAATAGTGCCCAATGGGAAAATATGTTATTGACTAGGATTTACAATTTACCTTTTGTCATAGTATTAATTATCCTGTTGTGTGAAAGCTGTGCAAGGCAGCCTCTCAGATCTTCCAATTTGCTTTTGTTACTGCAACCTCCCTTCCCATACTGTTTTTAGAGAGTCTATTATTTGACAAAAAGAGCTTTCAGGCTGAGAGAAAATTCAGAGCATTGTAAGCAACTGGAATAATGTGCCCCACATATACTTGTCAAACAAACCTTTTTCCAAGTACTTGATAAAATTTCTTAGATGATTTGGGTCTTGTGATCATATGAGTAATCTATAGAAAACTTATAAAGGTGAAGTTCATTTTTATATAATTAATACTAAGTCAAGTGTTTGAAATAATTTTTAATGTGCTTGAAACTTTCATTTTGTATAGAAAGTTTTTCTGATGCAGTTAAATTTTGATGTAATTATTCTAGATAAAAGCTGTGGTCTCTAATCCCATCTGAAGAACCCTTGTTAGAGATTAAATATTTGGATTCAGAGAGCTAACTACTGATGTTATAAGCTTTTCTCCAAAATGAAGAACTATAGTATTATTAGTACACTTCATTGATTTCATAATTGCTCTTTCAACAATGCTTGAACAGTCAGTATCTAAAGCATGTATTTTTCTACTCTGCAGAAATCATTTTTTAAACAAAGTCATTTTACATATTGTTTTACCTAAAATATATATTGTAACTTCCCCAATTTGTAACCTTGAGAGCATGTTGGGATTTTAATTTTTGGAATTTCCAGCCAACATGGACTTTTGCTTAGAATTAAGGGAATTTCAGTTGTAATACTGTATATCCCAAAGTAAGGAAGGCTGTGATATAACAATATTTTATATTCATCGCGAAGCATTCAATTTAATCTATTTACAGGAAAAGTAGCAATTTTGAAGGAAGATTTGCAGAAATATCATAACCGAGACACTTGGTTTCAATTGCAACATGTTGATGCTGATTCAGAAGTGCAGGTAAGATTGTCTCTTCCATGGTCTTTATAATTATGGTGGCTGTCACAATTGATAGAGAAATGTTCTTGGATCCCCTTATTTTTGAAAATATATTATAGATCAGTGTAACGGCATGGGGGATGTTTCAGTCAGTGCCTGGATAATCACATCTGTACATGTATCCCAAGAAGTTAATTTTATAAAAAGTTGCTGTGTTGTAATAAACATACTATGTTAACTTGGCATTAGTATCAGTGGAAACCACTACATTTCCTTCCAAGTGGAAAGAGGAAATATTATGAAGTCTCCGATAATTTGTTTAACTTTTGTTAAATAGGAACTACTGCTTATAAGTGATATTCTGTGTGACATAGAATAATGTTTGGAGTTTACTTGATAAGGTTATCAATTGATCACCTAGTGATCACTGAGACACATTCATGTAGATGTTAGACAAATCTGCTTATTCTGGAGGAGAATAGACACTCCAAAATCACCCTTGTCTCACTGAATATGTGGGAGTCTTAAATTAAATTAAATTGTCTGGATCTGTTTGGAAACATTATTGTGCCCATATCTAGGTAGAAGATAGAGATACCTAGTCTTGACATAATGGGAAATTATGATATAATCTACAATGTCACAACAGATAAAACTGAAAAAAATAACACTAGGTCCTTGTTTATGTAACAGTTTTTTAAACAAACCATTATTTCATAATTTTACCTATGTCAAGGCACAGTGGATTTTTAAATATATTTTCAAAGAACAGTAATACAAAAAGATCATATTATATGTTTTAATGCCCCCTCTCCTCTTTACATTTCAAGCGTACTGAAACTGACAGCTAATCCTTTTAGAACGTTTTTGAGGTATGCATCAAACATGAAAATATCATAATTACAGAATTAATCTCATCTTAAATTGAACAGATTTAATATTCTCTAAACTCCTTAATCATTGACTTGTTAATAAGAGATATGCAAACTTTCTATACCAAAGACCACACAAACAACTAAGTTCTTTAAAGTTTTTCTCTTACATTAAAACCTTTCTCTTTTTTCCTTTGAGTTATTTAAATTCCAGTTTTTCTATGTACAGTTTTTTTCACTTAACTTCATTTTGATAGTTTAATTGCACATAAAAGGACTTTGCTATCCTTCCAGAAGCAGGGAAATGCTTGTTAAATTGGAAAATTTAAAATACAATGATTTTTTCCATACTATTCGATTTGAGAAAGTTCTAGAATTTACAATCTGTTAGGGATGTAGTAGCCTTGTAGTGAAACAAAAATATTAGTGATCAAAACAATAACTTATCCTAAGTGTTTTGAATACTTTTAAGTATTCAAGTACTAATTTAGCTATGGATCAAATAATTATGGTTGGATAGCTTATTCCATTTTTAGATACTTTATTAGATCTTAATATTGTTCCAGATAAATCTAATATTTATATATGGAAAACTTTATAAGCTTATGTTAGAAAAATAAAGTCAGTTTATAAATCTTCCACAGCAAGAGTACATTTTGTTACCATTCCTTATCACTCTTGTTTCTAATTATTTCTTAGAATTTCCAGTGTATCCTCAGCAAACTACAGTGGCACCAAAATAACCACCAGCATTAATATAATGTGGTGCAGTGAGTGGTATATTGAGTGGCGCAGTGGTGCAAAATATAATAATATAGTGTAATTTATTCATTAGATACTCGCATTGTACTCAAACATGCTTGACCCACATTATCATTGCTGTAGTTTTACAAAACATTATACCTTTTAATAACATGTGTTGAAAAGTTCTACTAGAGTACTGGACTCCTTTTTTAAAAAAAAAAAAAAAAACAAGCTGTTTATCAAACTGCATCTTTTTGGAAATAATGCACATTATGAAATCCATTAAAACCTGAAAAATGTTCCTGGTGATTAATTGATTAAGTAGGGTTATACTGGTTTTTTATCTTCTGTTCGAGATTTATAATAATGCTTTTTGAATAAAGTTTTTCCAGCTTCCTTTAATGAATTGGGATTCCTCGAACTTTTTGTTTAAAAGTATACAAACTAGTGATGATATTAGCTTTGATTGTATGGATTCATAAAATATTAGCAACCTTCAAATGTATTTATTTACCTAAAATCTATAAGACCACATCCTTACAGTCTGTGAATTATTAGTTTACTAATTACTTATTAGCTTACTAATAAATATTTTAGGTATCAATTCAGGAGGCAAAATAAAACAGCAATGCTAGTTTTGAGGAGATCAGTGCCATATCCATTTATTTGGTTATTCCTTTTTGGGCTTCATGAGGTCAACTGGAAATTAGAAATCAAATGTAGATTAGTGTGCTTCAGGGGGCAAGAGAAGCTGAGTTGGTCTAGCTCTCTTTGGCTGGGGCTTGCTGGAGGACGAGGAGAGAAAGTGCTATTTGTGCCTGCTCTCCGCTTGCCTGGAACAACTTGAAGAGTTTAGGTGACAGACTTTAAAGAAATCAATTCAGGTTACATTGGTTTGGCCCTCCACAACTGTCCCAGTTTCTCAGGCCCTTGAGAAAATTAATTGCCCCTCATGGTCTCAAGGGATGACTTTGATATGATGCAATTCACATTTGGGGATCAAATGTTGCCCAAATGTCTGTTTCTTTTGTAGCTAACTGGATTAAAATATGCAATTCTAATTCACTTACTAAACTTAACTAAAAGTAATTCTTCATCTATCAAAATGCTTCCAAGATGTCTTTTAATTTAATATGGGGTCCACTGGCATGTCTAAATAAGCAATCAAATAACATTTGGATCATAAAATGCTTTATGTGGATGAACAGATTATATGGTAGTGATACTTTATGTGTAATTGATAATTACGTTGTATACCAAAATTTTCTGGTTTAGTGTAATAATTTGGTGAATTACTGTTACTCACATACATCCTTCATACGCTAATGTGTTTATTGAAATGTGTTAAAAATATACCTTAATTTAATATTTGAAATTTCCTAGAATAATTACCCAAGAAAATTATCATCTTTATAGATACTAATTATTTTTTATTAAACCTGATATTTTGAGTCCTTGGGAAAAGATTTAAATTAAATGAAAAAATAATAATTACAAGATTGAAACAGATATCCAGGGTTTTTAGCTGTTAAAATCCAAATGATCAAGTCAACAAACCTTTACATGCCCTTAGTATCTTGGAAGAGGCTTGGTCTTCTTTATTCTTTTCCGGCTAATGGAATGGTGGAGATAAATTATATAGATATATTCAGGATTATCTATCAGCCAGCATGGTAACTCTCTAAACTTGAACAGAACAGAATTTGATCTAGGAGGATAACCTGTTAAATCTTTCTGTTTAATCCTATTAAATCCTTCTGTTAAAGAAGGATTGAGTTAAAAATGGCTTAGGTCATGCTAAGGGTTCTGCCAAGGTTTAAAAAAAATATATCTAGTGCATCTGTATGAAAGGGAGAATTTCTTAGAATATTGCTACATTCTCTATTCTAAGACCCTCTCCTTCCTGGTCATTTGATACAGAGTGGAGCTATAATTAAGTGTCTTGAAATAATTGTGGAAGCCATGGTTTACATATCTTCCCAATCTTATTTGGTGAAATTTCTACTGTATTTCCAGCATTAACAGCTGCAAGGTATTTTTGGAAGAGATTGGGATACAAAAAGTTGAGTCTTAGCCACACAATAAGGTCATGGAATAATATAAAATTTAGGTTAATCTATGTCTCAGAATTGCTGGTCCTTTTTTTTAAACATTTATGGGTGTAAGGATACTTTAGATCAGCTAATTGGTAATTGGATTTTTCCCCAAATTATTTGGCATATTTTAAGAGGAATGGATTGTCTGAAACTGATTTTTTAAATTTCATTTTTGATTTTACAATCAGAATTTCACAATTTAGTTTAGATCAAGCATGTCAAACTTGTGAGTCACATGCAGCCCTGGACAGCTAGTAATGCTGCCCCACAAGATCTAAATTTTTAACATGATATGACAGGTAGTCCACAATTGGGCCCAAAATTTCTGTTGCTGAGGAATTTGTTAAGAGCACGGATGTCATTTTGTGGGGCACCTTTTTGTTGCCACAATTGTTAAGTGAATTTTTGCTGTTGTCAACTTAGTAATATGGTTGTTACATGAATGGATTTCCCATTGACTTTGCTTGTCAGAATCCCTCAAAAGGGGATTATATGATACTGCAATTGTCATGAATATCAGTCAGTTGCCAAGCATCTGACTATGGGGGTGCCGCAGTGGTTGTAAGTGTGAAACATGATCATAAGTTATTTTTTTCAGTGACGTTGTAATTTCATACTATCACTAAATGAAATGTTGTATGTCGAGGACTACCTGTATATTAAATATATTATATCTATATATAAAAAAGCCAAATACCACACACTCATCATGAAATTTCCAGAACCATAAAGCCTACAAACTTGAGATTTGGCACGTATGTTCCCCTTGGCTTCTAGGTGCTCACTAAGAAAGGAATTTTCAAAATTACCATCAGATCATTAGCATTTCTTATACAGTATTAACACGCTCTGATGCTATGGACTTCTACTTCCCCTCCCCACCTGAAAAGAACTCTGTTCCAAGTGCCAGTTGTCTTATATTAACACGCTCTGAGGCAAAAGAGTTAAGACACTTGTTCTCCCTCCCCACCTGAAAAGGACTCTATTCCAACTGCCAGTTGCCAGATGTTCTACTCCTTCACTCAGGAGTGGTCTGGGGCACCTTACAGTACTAAATGTCAATACCTCACCAAAATGTCTATGCCTTCCGCATATGGAACTAGAAAAAAGCATTTCTCCCTTTCTCTCCTAGTCTCCTGTTGTTGTTTTTTTTAATTTTTTTAAATTTTAATTTGTTTGTCTATTGCAATGTTAGAACTTAAATCAGAATATCCTTGGAATAATTTTAATTTTACTTAAGTTGCTTTATAAAATGCTAATGTTCTGATACATCAAAATAGCCCCCTCATCTTTTTTTGCAGCAGCATAT